TTCATTCACAGGGTGCACCTCTTTTTACTTCCACTAAATAAACTAATTTTATAGTTAGTTTTATGTAAATTTGCTGTTTATTGCAAAAGGTAGTGAGCAGTCTTTTGTAACTCAGTCACACCCTTCTGCACTCGAATGCTCCTGAGTTATGAAGCTATCAGTAGCTGTGGAAAAAATGATTCACTTCAGTTTGCCTATCTACTATTGTCTATTTAAACACCGTGGGTGGGTCAGGGTTAATGAAAGTCATATGGATACAGCATATGAGTTGAAACCAGAGTTTGGGTAGCTATTGAGTTGTTTCTGAGCGGCTGCACAAAATAAGCCAGAAGTCTCTCATAGACTTCAGGAATCATAGCAGCTCCTTTCCAAAAGTGGGCTGGGCCCGTCTGCTTTATGGGAAGAGTATTGGCTCCAAGGAGGCCATGACCATGACCATGTATGGTTCACAGAGTGAAGCAGAGGTGTGGGACAAGTGGCAGTCTCTGTGCACCGCCAGTGGGCATACCTAGGAGAAAAAGCTCCTGGAGCCTTTTGGGGGCACCTAGTGCAAGGTAACTCTGCATCACTCCCTGCACAAGTCCCAAGTCCTGGCCCAGAAAACTCAACAAAACCCTTATATCTGCTGATCCTCCAACCAGCATGGGCAGCCGTGCTCATAGTGAGATGGAAGTGGATGCTAAACACATCTTACTGGGAAAAACGTCAGCATGCTGCTTAGTCTGCATTCATATCCTCTCTGAGTTGCTCCTTTTGGACTGGTTCTAGCTTAGCATTCATTAAGACTTACAGAAAAGATCAAATGGCAGTTGTTAAAAAGTTAACCCATGTCTCATTAACTTATGCTAATTACCATCAAACTCCACAGCAATGCATTGCTGAGTTTTTCCACTGTTCTTAAGGGATTAACACCCAAGACTGGCATATTTAAAACTGTAAAGGCCTCATGTATTCAAATGTACGTGTGCTTTGTTCCCAGTGGTATCATTGGCCTGGGACAAGCGTTGAGCCCAAGTCATGTTGGTTCTTTTTTACTGATATTCCTCTTACCATTTATGCCAAAAGTCTGCTTCACAAAGCAGGGCAAAACCAGTCAGTACGTTTTTTTTTTGACTGTATCCATATCATCTTTGGGTTGCCTTTTCAATACCGGGGCAAGAAAGCCACCACCCTCAAAGCATAAAGTGTTGTGGAAAATATACTATCTGTCAATTAGAGCGGTGGCTGCAGGCGGTCCCAGAGAACTGCCTAGACATAGCCTCAGGTCCTGCTATGTAAATTGGAAGGCAACTGGCTGAGCTTTGGCTGTGGGAAGCGGGACACAGTGTCCAAACAGATGATGTATCTCTGTCTATCTGAAACCACAGAACTTTATAATATGATATCCAGAGCTTTGAGGCGCCCTACTGGTGTTAGTGAAAAATCAGGAAAGTGTAAAGTCCAGTAGTATATATGAATGGAGAATCATATTTCTCATCTGCTGAATTTGGGTAAATATCTGTGGCAGACAATGCTACTGCTTGCTTACATTTTTTACAGGACACATATGACAGGCTGCAGTCTGCTGTGGTACTGGCTGGCTTTGGACTATAACTGGTTTATTTAAGAAACTAGGTGGGAGATGATCTAGTATTATTAAGCACCTCGAACTATGAGAGAGTAACTGTTCTGTTGTTGCAGCCATTTATCAAAGGTGCTGCAAAATAAAGGTCTCTTAAATGGAGAAGAGGGGGCACATTTTATTTTCCTGCCACAAAGAGCAATTACTTAAGGTAGACTGCCAAACAGCTCCAGTCCTTGCTTATACCAGGTTACACTTTCAGTGCTGTTATATATGTACAAGTTAAAAAGAGAGAAGAAAGCGGACAGATTTTAGAGTAGTTGCTCTTTCTGCTATGGCAGCAGCGTGGCATTTGTAAATGCTATTATCATCACACTGAGCTGCAGCTAACCGAAATATGCAAGGAAAAGGCAGATATGACTGACAGCTCTACCTGCTGCAACACATTACAGTGTGAGGTGACACAGGTGTCTATCGCTGGATAAACATTGTTGCAGTGTAAGTGTTAGACACAAAGCTGACAGAACCTTCCGACTTTGCTGTTAAGTGTTGTTTGGATATAAAAAGGCTGAGACCTGTACACATGCAATAACAGAAGTAGACTCAAACATAATAAAATGTTCATACTTGTTTAGGATGAGGAAATGAGAGTGTTTAGTCAAAGATGACATCCAGAACCGACATTTCCCATAATGGGAACGAGCAGGAAATGAGAACGTGTGAATTATATAAAGTGATTGTGGTATACCAAGCTCACTGCAGCAGATGAAAAGTTTATTTTTCTAGGAAAATGAAAGAAACACCTCTTTCTGAAAGGGAGTGGGGTGGAAGACTGGATTTTGACCTGACATGCAAAAGGAAGTGGTTTTTAGATTAAATAAGGGCAAAATTCAGTGGAGTAAAAAGTATATTTTTCTCAGAAATAAAAATAAAAATTGCCTCAAATCTAATGGCATTTGTATAGTTATCCTGGGTTTCACTACCTACCTTGGTTTGAAGCCAGAGAAACATTCCCATCTATCAGATTTGCAGCTTGATGCCTTCAGTGTTGTACTTGAAGTGGTAGACTTTGGCAAAAGGTCCAAGCCTTTACTGTTTTATTACCCCACTGTAGGGACATCAGCAAAAACTGGTACAAAAGTGAACTTGAAAAATGACTACAAACTAGTAGTTTCTCTCTTAGAAACATTAGACCTTGAGTAACTCATGAGACATCACTATATACTGTCTGAACCTCCTGCTGGATGGCTGCATGCCAGGTACTAGGGGGAAGCCAAAGTTTGACCCCTCATTGGTGAGCAACTGAAATGAAAAGAGGCGTAATCTTAACTGATTAGGGCAGTATCGTAACATAAATAATATAGCCATGTCCTGTTTTCAGTGATGATCCAACATCCGCATTATGGTAAGCTAGTCATGGAGCATGTTCATTTCAAACAAGAAGCAGCACAATAAAATAGCACTCATAATTATTTCCTTAACTTTTCTTACAGTGTTTAATTGAAAGACAAGAGGTGATTTCTATTTAATGAGCACTGAATTCATCCCAGATTACCCTTTCTCCTTTCTGAGCACCAAGAGTGCTCCCCTACCCACAGCACAGCCTTGAGGAAAAACAGCAGGGAGCAGCCTGACTTTTTCTCTACGAAATAAGAGTATATCCAGGAGCACCTGTGACACTGACCTTTGGGCAGCTGGAATACCTCCAGCAGTTATTTTATGTCTGGGTGTCTCCAGCCCAGAGCTAATAGACTGTTCATTCCGATCTCTCCCTTCTTGGCCCCTCAGGATCTGAACTAATAGCAATGCAATGTGCAGTTCGGCATAAGCTTTGTTCTCCAAGCAAGTCTGTTTTCTAGGAACTTCCCCCAGACATCTCTGTCCCAAACCTTTGAGTCCCTCCACCTCCCCCACTAAGAAAGTCACTCATATCTCATTTAGGGCCAAAATTATTCTACTGAGAAGGAGAAGGAGTCAACACTGCTATGAAAGGTCCTGCCACTTGGGTCTGCTGGGAAGGTTCAGATTAGGATATGTATTCCTCTGACATGGAGAACGTATCTTAGCTTGTAGTCTTTCGGGCTCATAATGGTGCAGGTAGGCGAGAGAAAGACTTGAAGCTTGGGAGTTAAGGTAACGAAAGGATTCTGAGTTTTAAAACACAGAGGAGTGGAATCAGAGCAGTGAGGTGCATAGAACTAAAATTCAGGGCAGGTTATGAGATAAGAAGAGGAAGTCTCTAGATGATTTCTGTAATTGGAGCAGTGGGACAATGTAAGGGTTTGTGATATCTGGTTAAAGGAGATCTCTGAGCAAAAATGACTGGTTAAATGGAGAATTAGGAAGGTCTTAATAATCTATGAACAAGGTATGGTGGAACTGAATGTGGATGATCAGAGAAAATGGGGACATAGGGATATATTTAAGTAGGACAGAATAAATTTGGCAAATAAATAAAGTGTATAATAAGAATAAAGTGAAGAAGCTTATTGTTCTAGGTCTTCTGAAAATTCAATATGTTCTTCAGAGATTTCCTGAAGCAGGACTAGAGGCCATATTCCAAGGCCGTAAAGTTGGCTGAACTGGTGCTGTACAGTTTGGGGCAAAGGCAAAAGGCAGAAGAATTAAATGGGAAGATAAAGGTGAATTGGAGACAGAAGACGATCCAAAGACACTGAGAAACAGTGAGGTGATCTAATTCTACTTTCTTCTCTCTTGCTCTGCATCATAGAAAGCCCATTTTATCCTTTCTACTAGAGAAACTTTGTTAGAGGGAGTAAGTCCATTTCTATAGCAGTGTCTTTTTCCCCAGCCAAACCTCACCGATGCACATTAGAGCCTAGTCGATCTACAAGAAATAAAAGGGAGATGAGTAGGCTGGCGGCTGAAGGAAAACAATAACTTTACCCACCATTTAGTCCAGCCTGAATCTACTGGACACCTGTCAGTAGCCATTTCATTTATTGCTAAACTTGACCTATAAACTGTAGTTGGTAAATCTACAGGACAGATCAAAACACACCTGAGAGACCTTCAAATTATCAACTATTACAGCTGTTTGATTATTTTGGAACTGCTACTGATATGTGATATCAGCTCAAGGCCATATCTGCAACTGTCTAGATCAATCCAATGAAGGTCTCTACAGAAAGACGCCAGAACAAAGACAAAAGAGACTGTCCAGAAATGGTTAATTAATAGCTTGTTAGTTGACTGAATCCCGTTACATACACTGGTGCACCTACTGTATATAAAAAGTGACCTATCTTCTGTATCATTCTCAGCCACCTCTTCTGCCATACTGGCAGTTACCAGGTTTTCCACTTGGAAGTTTTTGGACGTTGACCTAAAATGTTTGTAGCATCTTGGATCTGGGGAACAGTGACAGTACTCTGTTGTGTTTTTTGGTTTCTTATAGGAAGGAGGAAGAGGTAAGATGTCTTTTAAAATGCATCTCAGCGTACCTAGCCTTTATTTCTGTCAAAGATATTGTGTGTGAGACTAAAAGCAGTGTCATCTGAAGTATATCAAGTTGATAGGTGCAGGATAATGCAGGCAACACTGTAGCTTGGTCTTTTGAGAGATTTATGTTACCTTTTTTGTGTACAGGCTTTTTAAAAATAATGGGGTAATGCTTAGACGTAGGTGTAGGTACAAATCTATGCATGAATGAGGTAATTAAAATATTAATATGCATATTCTGATTTCCTAAAGTACTGGGCTATAGTTTTACCTGTATCTAGTTACATGCTTTTAATAGAGACAATATTTGTATTGTTTACTATGTTAAATACATAATTTTTAAAAAGCAGGAACTTAAGCATTTATCCTACTGGCTTGTGCCACATGTACAGAAAGAACAAGTAATTTGTGTACCTATTGTAATTTTATATTTTTTGACAGTCAGTTGTTTTTTTTTCTTTAAAAGTTTAATAAAAAAGGTAGAAAATAGTTAACTTTTATAATATCCAACAGGATCACACTAGAAGAGCTGAAGTATTGTTTGGAAGTTATTTTAGCATCCATATTTCACCTTACGCAGTCAAGCAGTTATTTGACTTTCAGATTAAAATGCATCATTTAAGGATAGGCTTAACTATAAGCATGTGCTTAACGATGCTTTGCTTGAAAGACTAGCTATTATGCTCACTGAAGATGATGGCAAAATTCCCACTGTTTTCAGCACTGCAAAATCTACTCCAAATGGGGACATGCCAATAATAACAACCTTTCTACACTGAGAAGCCTATTCCCCTGGTACTCAAATTGAATTATGGATACCATTGCCCAAGGACGTTTCAAACAATGTTGGTGGGATGTTTTTTTTTTATCTATGGGTCAATTATGTATCTGTGTATGTAAGTTAGACGAGTCGGAACAACGTTGTATTTAACCAGGTGAAAAATAAATTTCTGAGGCAGGGGGAAAGAAAAGGTGATGTAGACAAACTATGTTTTATCATGTTTATTGAAATGCATAAAGTTATTCTTTCTAGTATACCTTAGACCTCATAAGAGAGTTACTGTTCAGAGCGGGGGAAATTCTTTGTCAACGTATAGTAGAAAACAAACATTACAAAAAGTTTAGCATCACCACTTCACTTAGCCGGTTGTCTTAGAGGAGAGATCTTGATGCATACTTCTAAATTCAGCATTTGTTTGCATTTTGTAGGCGACGAGGTGAGCCACCACTTGAAAATGGGTTCCTTCCATACCTGGGCTGTGCCTTGCAGTTCGGTGCTAACCCCCTCGAATTCCTCAGAGAAAAGCAGAAGAAGCATGGCCACATTTTTACTTGCAGAGTAGCTGGACAATACATTCATTTCCTCACTGACCCTTTTTCATACCATTCATTGATACGCCAAGGAAAACACTTGGACTGGAAAAAGTTCCATTTTGCTACTTCTGCCAAGGTACCATTTTAAAAATGGTTGTAATATTTAACATGCAAAATATCTGCTGTCAGGTCAGACAGGACCTAGTTAATACCTACATAAATTCATAGCATAACTACATCTTCGAAATATAGTTTGTTTCATATTTCTGCACTTTATCAGTTTAAAATATTGCGGTCTTTTTTTTTCCCCTTTTCGTTAAGGAAAGGGAATTTGCAGTCATTTGTATTATCCAAGAATGACAGTATTTAGCCACGTAGTGTCCCAGATTGCTCTAGTGAATATACAGTTAGCAGCCTCTGCAAAATGATATGTAGCTTGCTGAAGCTGAAACCTTCTTCAGGAGGTATTCATCGCTGCGGAAGATATATGCTAATATCTTAAAAAATTATGTAACGCAGTAATAGCTCAGTCAGACTCTTAATGAAGCAAGCAAAAAGGCTCCTGTTGATTTCAGTGAGATAGGTAACCATGTCTGTTTATTTATAAGACCTATTAGAATCTATTTTTGTTTGCCTACTTTACAGCTGCTATGTTTCACTGAGAAAGTATCAGTTCTAGTATTAATAATCCTTATTATGTTTCCCTCTAGTAAGCTATGAAGTTATACTTTGGCTTTAGTTTCTGTTAAACTTTATCATCGAGGTTATGATAGGCCTTATTTATTGTGTATCCAATTTATTTTGTGACAGGTTTTTGGGCACGGTAGTATTGATCCAGTGGAGGGAAACACCACTGAAAATTTTCATCAGACTTTCATTAGAACCCTTCAAGGTAATGCTCTAGATCCCCTCATTGAAGCAATGATGGAAAATCTACAATATGTCATGCTGCAGTCAAGAACATCTAAACTTCAGCCTAATATCTGGGTGACAGAAGGTCTTTACGCATTCTGTTGCCGGGTAATGTTCGAGTCTGGCTTTTTAACACTTTTTGGTACAGAATTTAATTCAAATCACGATAAAAATCTATCAAAGCAGGAAACTGAGAGAGCTCATATCCTAAATGCTCTTGAAAACTTCAAGGAATTTGATAAGATCTTTCCAGCACTTGTGGCAGGCCTGCCGATCCATCTGTTCAAGAGTGCCCACAGTGCACGTGAGAAGCTGGTAGAGGCTCTGCTCCACAAGAACCTGCTGAAGAGGAACAACCTCTCCGAGCTTGTCACCCTCCGCATGTTCCTGAACGACACTCTGTCAACTTTTGATGACAAGGAAAAAGCGAAAACCCATGTGGCAGTGCTGTGGGCCTCACAAGCCAACACCATTCCTGCCACTTTTTGGAGCTTGTTCTATCTCATTAAGTAAGTTCCAATGCTTCTTTTTTTACAAATGAGAAAAATAATGTGTGTTATCTTTCAGAAACTGGGTCGCTATTACAGGCAAATTCTACTCTTCATACCTCTTCAATGTCAATATCAAAAAGCTGGCTGATAACTACTGTAGTGACATGTTGTTCTGGACTTCCACAGAAACCCCCTCCCTCATCTCAGACCAGCAATGGTACCACTGAAGAATTCCAAAGGAAATTTTTCAAAAAAAACCCTACTCCAACCCAATACCTTGAGGCATCGCATAAAAAAGAGTGTGTCTAACACTTTGTCAGTGGTAACTTTGGGGTAAATCTACACAATGTGACATTAAAAGTATTGGTTGCAGTTAGAACATTAATTGTATTGAAGGCTACCAATATAATGGGAAATTTTTAGACTATTTCCCTAGACTAGCCAAAATGAGCTTTAGCCTAACTGTTCTTTTCACAGATACTTAACTGAAAATAGTTTATACATTGCTTGACCTACTGAGGTTAAAGGAATTATGCAGACATACACCAAGGATCTAATGGCAGCTCCCTGCCCGAGCTCTACAGTAGTGTGGTTACACTTGAATAAATCTGTTGTGGCAAAATGAATAGCCGGGCCCAAAACCTTGTACTAATATATGATGTTTTAGGCCTGAGATTTTGGGTTTCACTTAAGATATATGTCAACATTCCTTAACAGAAGGGCACATTCAAAGCCTTATGTGGGTCAGAACTGTTGTACCTAATTTCCCAAATTTCCAGAATAGACTGTCCTATATAGTGTTTTTCTACAATTTGGGGAAACCCTTAACGTTAGATATCTGCAGTGTAGCCTGTAATTACTGGGCTTGTTATTCAGGAGAGGAGCGCACAATTTAGATAATACTATTAAATGTCCATTTTAGAGTGAGCCTCCGTGCAGTGTAATCTACCTCCACATGACTAACTCTATGTGTGTATCTAAATCTATGACATCTTTTACTTAGTCAGTGGATTGCCTCCCTCATAGTTACCTGCTAACGTTAATAATTGAAGGACTTTTTGGTACTTTTCATACTAAGAGCTGCACTGGCTTAAATTCTTCTGGTCTTGGAGTCTTTTGGCACTCTGATTGTCTGTTTATAGCAATGGCAATATTGCATCCCATATTGCTAATTAGACATATTTCACCATAACTTGCGTATTCCATGTCTGTAGGAAAGTGAAAAATGTGAAGGATACTATGTTGATTTTAGTATTAGAAAGATTCTTTTCAGATAGACAGAGCATTGCTCCATAATAGGACATAACTGAGGATAAGTAATGTTGTAAAACTGATATATGATCCTGTTCGAAACTTTTTACCTGCACTGGGGCTATTGCCTAATCTACAGCCGATTGTTTCATTTCTTTTTCTTGGCATTGCTTTTAGTGACATCACTATTTATTTAACTGTGTTATACACATTAGTTCTGTCCCACTCATCGTTGGAGACAGAATCAAATATGTGGAGTTCTTTTCCATTTTTGAAGCTAATGTATCTTTGCTACTAAAAGAAAAACTGTAGTTACAAAACTGGCTTTTGGTGGCAATATTTTCATTTTAGAAGGTTGTACTTGTCAGCTAACAAAGTGCATTTTAATCAGGAAGTAAACGAATGGCAAAAGCCCCTTTCTATACCATTCTTAAGTGTGAGATCATGTTATATTATTTCTGCTATTTTGATTGTAGGAGTCCAGAAGCAATGAGAGCTGCTACTGAAGAAGTGCAAACTATTTTGGAAAGTGCAGGAGAAAAGATCGGCTTAGACAGCAAAAATATTTCCTTGAACCGAAAACAGTTGGATAATATGCCCATACTAGGTATGATTATTTTATGGAGCAGTATGAGAAATTGCCCTGCAGTTTTCAGAATCTTCTATTTTTTATCATAAACACTTGTAAATAAATTACTATTAGCCAACAAACACCAAAATAAAAATCTTAAACATTCCTTAGCAATGGTCACACAGTCTTCCGAACGTCCCAGGTGGTACTGAGAATATCAGAATTCAAATGAATAGCACTTTTTCCTAGGTAAGGGTATATATGAAAACTGCTACATAGCTACATAGCATTGGAGAACCACAGCTAATTCAGGGCAAAATTTTTTAATAATGACTTAAGATCAAAGAAAAGGGTGTTGCCAAATTTTATATCCCAGCTCTTACTATATGAAGCAAGATATTCTAATACCACTACCAGTATTTCTTCTTGATATTCTGCAAATGATGCATACATTTTTTCAGAAATATCCTAGTTTAAAAAGAAAACATATAGAAAAGAAAATTTAAAAGAAAATAAAGATAAAAGAAAAGAATATAAAGAAAATGTATATTGAAAGCAAACAAAAACAAGTTGTTTTTTGTTAGTACTGTTTTCTATGCATCACCTCTAAGTTTTACAAAGTCCTGTTCTTCACAGTAAAAACATCTCTCACTTTCAAATATTTTGTTGCATCAACTATAAATGTCATTCTAGATAAAAGTGGATGATGTCCCCAGTGTTATCTGCAGGAAGGATAAAGCTAACAACAAATGAGAAAGATAATTTCTTAGACATCTGTAAAGTTACTGTTAAATTAGATCTTTTAATAAATGCAGGATTCAAAAAATATGACATCCCCCAAGGACATACACATACTATTTCCAGGTTAATCATTCCTTTTCATCTCCCCATAGATAGCATCATCAAGGAAGCAATGAGGTTATCAAGTGCCTCTATGACTTTCCGAGTCGCTAATGAGGATTTCACATTGCATTTAGAGAAGGAGTTCTACAACATTCGCAGAGATGATATTGTAGCTCTTTATCCTCAACTGTTGCACTTCGATCCAGAAATCTATGCTGATCCCTTGGTAAGTGTTTATCACAATGCGTTCAATTCCAGGCTCTAGCAGGAACAAACATGCTCCTTACTGAAGTATTTACCAGTACTGCTGCCACAGCTGGTTCTCTGTTCTACCCCAGACAATCTATTTCTTTACCTGGAGACTCAATGATAGACAAGAGAACTAGCCTGTGCAATACTTACTGCAAGGGACTTTTCTTTTCCTGCCTGAATTTTATGTCTTAATGGTGTTATCTAGTCCTCAGAGGCATTCAAATATCAAGTAACTTTTTGTGGACTTTATTACAGACGTTCAAGTATGATCGTTATCTGGATGAGAACGGAGAAGAAAAGACTGACTTCTACCGCAACGGTCGCAAGTTAAAGTATTATTATATGCCATTTGGGTTAGGAATAGCAAAGTGCCCTGGCAGGCTATTTGCTGTCCATGAAATTAAACAATTTTTGACTTTAATACTTTCATATTTTGAGATAGAGCTTGTAGACAGTAATGTGCAATGTCCATCTTTAGACCAATCCCGTGCAGGACTGGGTATTTTACAACCAACCAATGATGTTGATTTCAGGTACAGATTGAAATTTCTATGATAATATATATCATATATGATACATAAGCTATATACCACATACAGATGCTATAAAACAAAAACTTTATATATATATTATATATATAGATAGATAGATAGATAAAAATGTCACACAACTGGGTGAAAATCTATGATAATTTATCGGTCTAACAGAGAATGCATAGATTATACCATTAGGGTACTGCAATGCAGTGGGGATAATGCACAACGCTGGTACATGTTTCCCCTTTTACCAGATGCAAGTTGAGATCTTGAATTTGTGCGTTTACAGTTGTTCTTTTCTTCTGCCAGAAAATACTTTCCCAGAGCAATATAGTAAAAATTTTGTCCCCTACTTCAAAATAATTTTCAAAATTCAACTAGGTAAAATTTGCCTTTTTTGTAACTGAAACATTTTAGTGTTTTCCCCTTCCTAGGTAAAATAGCGTATTTATTGTAAAAAGAAAAATTGGATGTGGGAAGAGGGGAGCTACCTGGGGAAGTGCCTTTATGTTTTCATGAAAAACTCAAAAAAGACTTGAAGAAAATCTACAAAAGCTTTCACGTTCTAGTGAAATGGGAAAACCTTGTATTATATTCATTGTAATATATTTCTTTTCAAAAAGTTGTAAATGTATTAAAATAAATGATATTACCTGAACAAAGTGTGCCTCTAAACTGTTGGTCATTTCAATGTCTTAACATTCTCAGTGATTTACCCACTAATCCAAAGCCAGCTGAGCCAGCTTTAAACTAGACAGTTGAAATGCCAGTACAGAGATAAACTAATAGCCATCCATATATTAACTAGTGAGTCTAGCTGGATTTTGCAGCCTTCTGTAAACTCCATAATTCCATGGCTTAATGTCTTCTTTCAGTTCATTTGGTCTATGAAAAACTGAAGAATTAAATAGTTCCTAAAGCTGATCTTACTTTCAGCCACCCAAGGAATATCTAGAGAAGTGAACTGTGGGGAAGGTAAATAACACCACAGAATTCACCAAATAATAGAATAAAATCAAGTTGTAAACACTGTAGGGTGTCTTCTGATATTATCCCCAAATGCTGATGCTCTCACAGACAGCACAGGAGATACAAAAGCCAATGTCTCCATGTTTGCATTGACTACTTGGTACTTTCTCCTTCTTCCTCTATTATGTGATAATCCAAATCCACTGGAATTATGTTCTCATGGCTTTGCTTGACTGGCCCTATCTCATTTACACAGCCTCCCTCACTATACTGACAGTGTATGCATGAGGTCAGATGGTTGTATATGCCGTTTTCTTTCCCAAGACTCACAAACACACTCTTCCCTCAGCTACTAGATCTTCCTCTTACTATGTTCCTTTTCTATTCCCTCTGTATACTAACCATGGGGATAGCTCTACAGAGGGTTTTGGGAAAGAAATAGATGTGGTCTCTCTGGTCTGTCTAGCCATAGGGACTTCAGCATTTTAAATAAAATTTCAGTGAGGCAGCTAAGCCACATTTTTCACTGTAACAGATACATAGGAAGACACTTCAGTCTCCATTTGAGGTTTACTTTTAGTATTTTTTTAAAGTGAGGATTAGATCAGTCTTTAATGATCAGAATGTACTAGATAAATGCAACAGATATGTTAGGTTTTGTCTGTAGCCCTCAGTCAATTTTGGACCAAGAAGATGAACAGCAAGTACATAAAAATTTTAAAGTTCTCATAGACAGAGCCGCCCTTTACAAATTCATGTTTGGTTTTGAAGTCAGTGCTAGCATTACTATTGACAATCTAGAACAAGAAGCGCTTCATTGCAGCTTGCATAAGCCTCTACAAATTTCTAATGCAAATTGACTAAACTGACATCCTTAAAACTGCATTTGCAATTAAAATAGCTACCCATACTTTTTTATTTGTAGTGCATATTGTTTCATATGATGAACAATCCTTTAAGAATGATTTATCCCCAACATGCAAAGTACATGCACACACACACACATACACAAAGAACTTCTATGCAATTTTAGTAAATTCAAGTCCAATGGGAAAAAAGCATACTCCTGCTGGAGCAGATATGACTGAGGAATGGTCAGGAGATCTCCCAAGACATCCTGTGGCTGAGTCGTTATGGTCTATCTCAGAACGTGCCCAAGAAACTTCTTCAACAAATAAAAATGCTGCATAAATATCCAGCTTGAGGCGAGCTCTTTAGGCCTCCCAAAACTACATAGTCGTTCTGAGCCAAAAGCCAATACTATTCTAAAGTGCAAATTTCATCCTAGAAGGAATTGGAAATCAATTAATGTCAAATAAAGTGGGCGGTGAGACAAAGTCCTCCAAGTTGGCTTGCCTATGCTGTTGCAGTTAAGCAACATACTGTAACATTAAAAAAAGAATGAAAAAAAAAAATTCTAGGTCATCTGGGTAAGGTCTAGGACCAAGGCCACAGCTGGGCTGGCAACACTCATGAGCTGCTTAGGTGTTGGTAACATCACAAAGCCACTCAGACCTCTGATTCTAGCTGGACTCCTTCTAACCAACCAGCCAATTTTTCCATGTACTATTTATAAATATTCATAAAACTATCCTCTTTAATCTAAATCAGAAGATTACAACTTTAAGCTTGACCAAAAACATTTTTACAGACAGCATGCACAGATTAAATTTATATGTACCAGGATTTGATTTTATAAATCTCTTCCATCCATATTCATTATGCAGTATGAGATTTAAAGCAATTGTATTTAAAGCAATTGTACTATCCAAATGTTTTGCATTTTGCCTTTGTTACTTGCTTATGCTTTTATATAAAAAAATCAAAAGTAGAGACCTAGTCTTTTTTTTTTTAAAGAAAATTCCAATGCTATACATTTTTTTCTCAATTCATCCTTTCAGTCATATTATGCCCTTGATTTAGGTCCTATTAAGAGCAAAGATAAAGGCTTATTAAGACTTACTAAGAGCATAGGGAAGGCTCCAACTGCAGGCTAACAATCTATCCTGAACTCAAGTCTTTCTACAAAGGATTTAATAACAACTCTGATTTACAATATTATCTACTGCTCTAAGGTACCCGAGCCAGTTGGAGGCTCATTCCGTTATGAATGCCATTATTCATTATGAAGACTGTTTTCAAAAGACAGACCTTGGCATCAGTTCATGCAACACAACCTTCTTGTAGCAACAGTAATACAGATATGCATATTTTAAAGTGGCCAGCTTTTGTACATCTTGCACTGCTCTCCCATAGGGCTAATTCAAAGATTTCCAGAAGCAGTTGAGTCACAAGAGTCTGCCCCAACAGGAGAATATGTTATTCCCGTTGGACATGGATTTATTAAAATGTCTTTGAAATTTCTATTTTTACTTGCATACTTTGCATCTTGGGGTAGATCATTTTTAAAGGAAAGTTGCTCATCACGTGCATCAGTGTGCACTACAAATATAAAAAAGAACAGAAGTAGCTAGACTGTTCCCAGACTAACTAACCACATTGCAGAGGCAGGCACAAGGGTCCATATCCATCCCACCTAAGTCTGATGCCTTAACTGAGGAATCATCACCATAAAGCATAAATCATCAGCAGATCAGCATTAAGCAGAACTGGCATCAGATCATAAACATGGTACCCCAGGGTTGGCTCAAGTGCTCCTGTGGTCCTGCCGAACCCCCCCTGCAGGACTCACCACTCACCTTCCCGCCACCTCTCTTTTGCTGGGGTAGGATTTCTGAATAGGAGCCTGAATGCATAATCTGTGAACCCACTGGGAAAGAAATATAAAACAACAGAGGCAACCAGCTCTTTTTGGCTAGCTTTGAACTCCTGTAAACATAAGGAGTATGTCAGTATGTCTTCAGAGGGCTTTCTGGAGCTATGCTGCTTTTAGAGTTGACCTAGCGTTACATAACTGAAAAGAACCAGTACAAAACATCTTGAGCTGAGTTAATTTGATTTATTTCACATTTGCTTGTTTATATCTAAATTGTCTTTTCAAAATTCAGGCAGGGATTTACTGGGGTTTCTGAGGTTTATCCCTATCCTCTGCTTGGTTTTCTGCTTCCCAGTCACTCTGGTACTCCTAACGCAGCACTGCAGCTCCTTTCTGCTTCCTGGCAGCAGGGCCAATTTTTCCTCACCTTCTTGTACACTCACCATGTATACATTGCAACCTCTGTACTATACTGAAGTTAGAAATTTGAAGTAAAGAAGCACCGGGAGGCTTACAGCCTTCAGCTCCTGCCTCCCCGACCTGCTGCTGCCTTCCTTTACAGCCAGGTTGGGTAAGCTTAGGCCTAACTAGACCATGTGGATTCCCCGAGAACTGCAGTTTCACATAAACTACAGGAATGACAAACCTGCTCAGGACTATAAATTGCATTGTTATCACACTGGCTTCCTTTCAATCCACTAGTGTAAGGCAACCCTGTTGGGATCTGATTCATGGTGGGCAGTGCAAATTTCTTTGATGTGATTATAGGACTATTCTACTGCATTTCATGTCTTCATATTATTATTATTATTCATTATAGTGAATTTATACAAAAAATCTCAATGATACAGTGGTGGATAACTCATCCTACAGTCTGGTGTAAGTGTACAGCAAATACAGGCTTGAAGGTCGATGGAAGTTCAAATTAATCTAATTCCCCCTTGACAAAAATTAAAAAAAAAAAAACATGTAGATATTAAAATTGATCTGCAGCTGAGTTGCAGGAGACTAGGGAGGAGCAAATTTCTCAGCAGCCTTCTATTGCACTCAAAATCAAACCATTAGTCCAAAATAGTAGAGAAGAGGCATCTACACCTCTAGTGTTTTAGTCTCTCTTGTACTCCACGTTATTAATGCTCCTCTTTTCTCCTGCAGTTACTCAAAAATTTTGGATTTCCTGTCCTATCCAGATTGGCTGAGAGATCGTAATAGTAAGTTTTATAGGTGAGTTTAATAGACCTGTCTAACTGAAACTGTTTTGGCAGAAGACCCTTCTAAAATAAAGTTTACATATGTTAAGAAAATGTAAAGGTTAATGCCAGATCCAGCCTCAGTATAAAAGCGCTTTACATTCTTTCTTTAGAAAAGTTTGTGCCTGAACATCCTGTATTGTATTCCCAGTTGTTTGAGCAATGTCATGAGAGAAATGAGAGGGAAAAAGAGCACTCTCTTTCCACTTTTTGACAAAAGGAATACAGATGAACAGTTCAAACAGTTTTGGGTAGGGTTTTTTTTTTTTTTTTGGTAGTAGGGTTGCATGGAAGTGTTTTGGTTTGCTGCCATGGCTGCAAATTTTATACCCTCAGTTAAACCTCTGTTACCAGGATCACACAGATATAAGTGAGGGGGGTACAAAGTCTGTGGCTCCTATGCCTCAGCTAATGTAATCAAATACTTCAGCAATCAATGCTCTTCTGACTAGCCAGGGTCATGGACACCGCGAGGTTATTACGGGACAATTCTGTTTGCTGACTCTCCAAATAGCAATACTTTTCTTAAGACTGGAGACAGAAAAGCATGACTGAAGACTGTGAGAACAATTAAAAAGTATTAGGCAGACCCAGTCTGTTAGGAAGGAGGCAGCCTACTCCATGGACTGTGTGAGTATTTCACACTACAGAACTACTGGGTAAAACACATAGAAAGATATGATCAGAAATGGGGCTAAGACCCTATCTCCCAGGTGAGAGA